AAAACTCTGGCCAAAATTCGAAATTTCATGCCCGTCGAGAATGTATCCCTCTTCTGCATCATCTTGTAAACTTGTCCTGATCCCTCTCACGTCCATCCCAAAGAGCTATCTCCCAAAATTGTGCTCCACGCTTTGCTTCCTCCGTCGGGTGTAAATATCGGCGTGGGCGTGTATTTGGTGAGCGGCTGAGGCCAGAGAAAGTCGACGAGAGGTGTGGTCATTGAAATGAGGATGTACTAGGTCGTACTTGTAGACTTGATGAAGCTTAGTTGAGAATCGGACTCTTTGGGAGTGAAAGATTGACATGGTGGAGTAATTTGAATTTTTGCCTCGTGGGCCAACTTCTTTGATATTGCGAAATTTGACTGAACTTGGCTCTGGGAGAATATTTCACTCCCAGGTTCGTAGAGAGCACCATTGACAGGTGTTCAGTCTTGCCCTCCCACTACTAGGCTTATTGCCTAGCAAGGATAGTTATGTAGTTTCCATTTCCGAGACTGAAATCTTCACACTTTGTTTTCTATCTTTAGGAATAGTTACATTATTCTAATCACATCTCACTCTCGTCTTCTGCCAACTATAGTGACCTACTGTCACCTCCGGCCCCTCTATCTAGAACGACTTTCCGCTTTCCCATTTACCACTTCTCTAGAAAGCCCTCCGCGTTCCCACGAGGCGTCCTTCCTCAGTACATCGTACGCTATGCCCTCTCCTACGCCTCGAGTCTTGCGCCCAGTGAACTTGCGCCTGACACTAGCCTACGCTGTCAGAGGCAATGAAACTGACTTAAGCTTTGTTCTGCCACACGAGTAACGCTTTCGATACTCTTGGCACTATCCTATACGTAGCCTCAGTGGCCATCTCGTATCAGTTTTCGTCTGCTGGTAATCCTCGGAGTGATAGAAAATATAGGTTGCCTTTGATAGCCATCAGAGGCTATAGGTCTTACCGCCTCACCAGCCGTCACTCCTAATAAGTCAATCACTCATTTACCATTTTGCTCCATTGTGCGGGAGAGACTGGCTTCGGCCGGCCATTGACAAAGTATGGGCTCACTCTATTTTCTTCTAAGCACCTCCCAAGGGGCTAAGCGTTTCGCCACCATATTGGAGAGGGTTAGGTTCCTGTCAGAAATCTGATCTCTCCGTAACATATGAGCTATTCTTGTGAGGTACCCGCTGCATAGCGCTCGCAGTCTGTCGAATAACATATCATAACATCTAAATAGAGAATCACCTTTATTAAAGATTGTTAATCTGTATGCAATTGAAATACAAGATTAAAGCGTCACTGGCTATATTCGAGTCATGCACATGTTATTAGATAGATTCCCACTTACCTATGCATAATTCTGCTAGCATTGTAATTTGTAATTTGTATTTTGTCATTACAATCAAGTCACTTAATCTCCTATTAAACAGCATTAATTTTACTGTGCTTGGTTATACTTTTCACTTATAATTTGCTATTAAGGGAACAAACAGGACCAATTTTAGAACCATGTAAAGAAGGGAAATACGAGCTGTTTGCATAAATAATTGTAATTATTGGGCTATATCTGAAGATTGGGAGAAAATTATGATAATAATCTAAAAGATGTATTTAAGAACTAAGATAGCATCCTCAGAGAGGACAATCAATTCAATACACTCTGAGAGGGATTCATATTAGTATAACTTTGCTCAACACAGTCTCTAAAAAAATTTTCATGGCCTCTGCCACTGCACATCACATCTTGTACTACTTAGTAGTCACCATGTCTCCTCAGAGATGGGGCTTTAGTTGTAACTAGTGCCCGGTAGACATAAAATATATTCGACCTTGTAAAGTCAGGTTCACCAGGAAAAAAATACAAACCACATTAATGCCATTCATCAAGCCCTCGTCCACTTTAATCAGTGACTACTACTTGGATATTACAAATAACACGCCATTACTCGAAGTTTATAGAGCCCCCGACGACCCAAACTCTGTTAAGATCCTTCTTGATTGAATTCCATCTACCCGCTTTGTCATTGTTGACGACTTCAACGTGGTTCATTAGGCTTGGCAACCAAGCGCAGCACATATGTTTAGACACGGGGAACAGAGGTAGAAATTGAAAGAGGCCCGAAATTTCTCCTGCCTTGTAACTAGCGAGCGTACGCATGGCGTCGGGAACAACCTTGATCTAGCATGGTTAAATAGCATCAGGACCTGCGCATCGGTCGATCGGCTGGAGTATATAACCAGCTACCATGTCTCAACCTTGGGCTCGGTTCTTGTCAGGTAACTGGGAGCCTGACCCGTGAGAGGCGAAGTGTATGTAATTAAAGCAAAAGATAACTCAGTAAAAACAAATTCATCCCTATATCTCCCGGAATTCTAGGGCTATATACACTGATCATGATAAACTTGATCTCTTGATCTCCAAATATAGACATGTGCTAGGAATAGAATAATCTGCGGTTCTAAACACAGAATTTAAGCACTGACTGAAACAAACAACCCACGTACGTATGGACATCTTGTTGGAAATGGAGACACGGAGTGTTGTGGACGTACGGGCCCTCCATTTCGTCTAGGTTCCCGATACAATCTCGTGTGTATTTAAGAGGTTGGAGTAGGTAATATGGTAGCGCTTCAGGCTACCTGTTGGATATATGAGCGGCTGTATGGCGTGGGCGCAAGGAGGTTATTGTTGAGCGGATTGGTTTGCAAAAGCTTGTGGCTGTTAGGCACAGATTGTATCACTTGGTGAAGCGAGTGGGAAAGTAAAGGAGTCTGTAAATCTGTCGTGGAGAGTTGTTAATTACTCCCACTAGGACACAGAGTGCTATATAAACTATATTTTGTACTACTAAAATCTAGTGGTTGGTATTTACGTCAAAGCGCATTAATACTAACCTCACAATTAATGGGAGATTAGTGACGTGTATTCTACACATCCCTGTCTTTACCATAATTGGAAGCACCAATTTCAACACCTAGCTCCTACTAACGTCTCGCTCCTTGGGTTATCTACACGCTAATATAGATCTCGGAATATCCGGGTAGTATTTATGTAACAAGCTTTCTTTAGCAGTAATAACAATTGGTGGTTAACATATATCTTCATTCTTATCTTCTAATCAAAGGAAACACGTGTATACAGCAGTTATTCCTCTCTCCTAACACCATTCCTAAACAGGTAATTTATTACTCATGAACGTAATTTGTCATCATTTCTAAGATAATACATGAAAGGTCATTAAGTCAATAAGTCATTCGTCAATAGAAATACAAATACAACCCGGCAAAGACCAATTCTTAACCTTCCAGTGGTGGCGGTGTTATCGCTCAGTATGCTCTGCATATCTGGGATAGCCAAGAAGAATCGCATCCGAATAGAAGTCGAAAGTAACCTCAAGCATATCTAAAGCCTACGACTTCTTGACAATACCTCTCTTACCATACTCATCTGAGTCCTCAGCCCCTATCTAACCACAAATCATCTCGCCTCAATGACCAACAAAGAAGTTGCTCTAATTGCAAACAGGAGCTTGCCCCATTAATCTCCAGCCATGTCTCACTGTAACGGCTTGTGAGCCGATTGTTGTGTGGCACGTGATTGTATTCACGTGCTTCTATAATTCTACAGCAGTCTAGCTTTATTCCAGATCAGTTCAGCTGTTACTGGAATATTCTAGTAATTGGTAGCAAGACTGGTAACTACTTTGACTGGAATATATGAGAAGCAGATATCAGTCAAGAACGAGTATTCTAGAGTTCTTCATAGATGTATAAATAGTTGAATTAATACACTCACAGTTAGCCATAGAGAAAATTATAAACAACCTTCGTATATCTGATTGCTCCTAAGCGACACTCGAACCGTGACACTCACTACATATTTACGACGCTATTTATACCCGCATGGAGGAAATCAAGTCGACAAATACAAAGTCTAGGTCAAGGCTTATGTGAGACTGTTGCTCTAATGGGACAAACAACTTGAGGGAGAATAGGCGGCTGAGATGTGGGACGAGAGGGGGAACAGGCCTTTGAAGACCATGCTGGGACTGATATTATCGAGCGGTTCTCAAATTTGGAACGTTTGTTGGCGCCAAGACCGGGATTTCGGCAAATTAGCCCGGAGGACTTCAATTGTCGATCAGTCAACGGCACTCCACAGCGCCCTGGATGGCACAAAAGAAGTTAGGCTAAGCTACCATATATCAATCACGCTCTGTTAAGACTTTTCTGAAACTTGAGTACGACCTTTGGGAAGGAGTTGGAAGGAAGCTAGAAAGGCAGAGTGAGAATTCTCCGAAGTGTCCACAAGTCTGCAACACCTAGCTGGCCGGCCTCTTCGAACGCTTCAGAAGGATCACTACGTCTTCGGATCCAGTCCTAATGTCGGTCTTAGTAGAGCCCCGCACCCAGTGGCTTTTTCGATTTTTCCCAGTTGCCATATACCCGCAAATGGCCATCGTTTCGTTGGCTGGAGAGAGGAGATAATGAAGGGCAAAGGGCTCCACTAATTGTATGATCGAATGAGGACTTGTGAGGGGTTGTTGTGTTTGATGGGAGCTGTATGGGAGGCATAGGAAGGGATATATTGCTGGCATAGGTATCATTGACCTGTAGGCAGAGAGGACCGGCATGTCTTACATAGTCATGGACTCAGACAGGACAGTAAAATGAATTAAAAAAATAAAAACTACAAATACAAGGTACACAAGTTCTCCAAACTTCTTATTAATTTTACTACTAAGTAAACATTTGTCATAACCCTATCTATATTGTGCTAAGGAACAGGAATGATTATGTTTGACCACCACTCTTATAATTCAACGGACTTAACTTTCCAGCACCTATTGTACTTCTATGTCACTCTCTTTTATGGAATATTTAACGATCAGCTTCATCTTAGACTTACTGACTCTTTTAAAAGTGGGTGCAGTAATTGGAACTACATCCTAATCATATAAATTAAACTTTCCTGAAAAGACTAGGGTATTGGAGTTTCTTGAGGATTTTTATGTACAAACACCTTGTAGCGCCTTCGGCACTAAAGCATAAGTCCTAACAGAATATAATTCCTTTGGGAATCCACTCTGTATTTCAGTGTCCTTTAGCTGCAAGTTGGCCTGCCCGAAAAGCTCTCGAAACTTCTCGTCAGTCCTAAATATATAGAAACTACTAGTTAGTGAGAATAACATGTAAAATCAAAGGTACTTGCCGCGTGACACTGCTATCAACTTCATCGAATACATCATCCGAAATGCTACTTAGGTTCTCCTTAACAATGATAAGACCATCGTCTGTCAAAAAATTGGCACTCCGCCTTAAATGGGCGACCAGTTGTACGTCTGTCAGGTGACCTAAGCACCATTGGTTCCAGATCAAGTCATATCTGAGTGCAGTATCTGGCGACCAGTTCTCCAGACCAACATTGAAGATTCTTCCCACTCCATCTATTCCCTCGAGCACTTTTGTGAATTTGATAATTGGTTCTACTATATCGACTGTATCCGCAATCTCTAGGATTATACCCCGGGTTATCCGACCGATACTGTAAAGAGAGTGCCCATGTAAGCGGGAAAGTTTTCATATATATCCAGATATTCAATTCTCAATAGCAAAAGCCTAGCAAGTACAGAAATAATTCGAAGAGATCTTCTCCTCATCTTCAAGTTGAGAGAGTGGAGAACCTAAGGATCTGACTCACCCGGCACCACAGTCCAAAGCTCTCTTCATTTTTTGCCCGCTCCGTGCCCCATCATGAACTTTGCATATGAATCTTTTGGAGCCCCGTAAATCTATTTTTGAGATGCAAGCAAATCCGCCTAGCATGCCCTCTACATCAGCATTGATGCCTTGCCAGTATTTCAGTGAATCCTCGTGATTGATCTGGTCTACCGCCATAATTATTGTGAGTATGTTGTGAGAGTCTTATGGTGGGCTAAATATTTATTGTATTGAGATCAGTATGCGAAAATTTTGTAATGATGATGGTTGTTTGTGGTTAATCTACTTCAAGAATTATTATTGCGGCTGTAGGTTTTCATGTTGATCCGGAATTTATCCGGCAAAAAATATTATCCCGACTGATGGTTTAAATAATTGCGAATCTTCCAAGGTATCGGGTAAATAAGTTTCTTCTAATTCGTATTTTTCTCTCGTTTGAATCGTCAGTTCGAGGTCTATGAATAAATACCAATCATTTACATCGAAAGGATCAATTTACAAAGCCCGACCTTCTTGTCGGCGTCATTTCTAAGCGTTTGTTCTGCGGCCTATAATCATAATTTTCGGGTAGGAAAATGCATTCAAGCCAAATACTTTATTCCTTTGTTTCTATCTTCGGTTTTAGGACCGTTGGGTACATTTTTTTCTATTACGCACTCAAACCCTGCCATAATCATCAAAATGTACCGCAGGGTTCTGACTATAATGAGGCCTCGGGATTTTGCTAATTCAGTGATCCCGGAACTATCTCTAAGAACCATTTTCTGTATCAAAGGGGCTTGTCAAAGATTGATCAATTTTCAAATGTAGGCATATTTCTATCCCAAAATAATTAGTATTAGAAAAATTTCTAGGATTCCTAGGAAACATCTTGGAGAATAAGTTTACAATTTCGGACAGAACTTTTATGGATGGCTGTGTGGGGTATCAGTTTCACTTCGATTTGTGGATTAAGAATTAGTTACATTCCAATACTTTAGTTCAAAGTTGAGAAAAAACATTTTCTTACGCACACGTTTTGAAGGCTTTGGTAGTCCCGTGCCCGTAATCATATAGCAGCAGGGGGACTATTCTCAACACCTGTCAGTGGTGTCCCCTACGAACCTTCAGCTCTCACTGTAAAGTTTGCAGATCCGAGATTGAGGAACAAAGTCCTCACTTCATTGAGGATTCCCAATCGCTTTCGCAGTCCGTATCGTCTTCATCCCTAGCACATCCCCCTAACACCATTATCATGAAGCTAACCACGATCAGATTAGATGGTAGGGTCGAAGCCCTTCTCATCACTAACCCTTGATCATGGGGGAGAAGCCATACGATGAGTTTCAGGAGCGTACACAGCACCCGATACGGAGATGGCGGATTGGATTAATTCGGCCTCGAATGTTACAAAGGAGGAAGGTATACATGAATATGCGCACCTCATGTGGTCCCGGTGTCTAGGCCTCGACTGGCTGGGGCTGCAGGTTTTTTGAGACTGTTTCCCGCGTACGCAGTTTCCAATACTACTATTTTATTTTTGAGGTAGAAGGTTCTGTGGAAGAGACCGCTGAATTCTACGAATAAATACTGAGCTGAATTGCTATCCATCACGGACAATGTATCAATGATCTCACAAGGAACACAAGAGGCAGAGAGCACTGTATAGGGTGTAGCCTGGGTCAGAGAGGAGTTATATGTGCTAGATGTTAAAGATTTGTCGTTTAGTGATAGAAATGAGGTAGAGGTCTATGGGTCACGACGTATGAGATAATTGAGATGTAGATGTGTGAGTTCCTTGCGATTGTTATTGTTCCAGATAGGGTTGACTTTCTATGCATATGAAAGGGATGTTTCCATCTAGAGGTGGTGTGCGTTCGTATGTAGGGGTTGAGAAGTGGCTTACGGTGACTTGGAACTCAAAGCACGCCTGTAATAAGTATCACTGGATGCCTGTGGAGTTCGTTAGGTCAGATGTAAGTAGTTGGTTCATAATCCTAACAGGAAACTCCTAATGTTACAAGCAAGCTAATACATGATTACATAAAGGAGGACGAAGGCTGAACACCTGTCAGTGGTATCCTCTACGAACCTGGGAGTGAAATATTCTCCCAGAGCCGAGATTCAGTCACGAAAATGGGTGGGATGAATTTTAATTGATGGATTTTCGACTTGAAGGAGTTGCACTCGATATTTTGGTCGAAAAATCAGTCGGCAGAGATTTCACAGCCGGAACAACGTCGAACAAAAAGTCATCACCACTAACATACGATTCACGAAAGGGCCTAGGTCTATCTGGGGGTCGTATTCAAATATCCGACATCTCTTAAACTCCTTTTATACTTGCGACGAAGCATTTCTCAATCGATCCTACACCTGCGACCTACCTCCATACCCGTCCGATCACTTACCTACACACGCCCTAATGAGGAAAGTCATGATGGAAACGGGACGTGTACAAAGGAGAAAGAAGAAGGAAGATACACCGAGGGGATTATACAAATCCCCAATGACGAAAACAACCCAACGGTACGATATGAAGGTGCAAGGCTAGAGCAACGATGAGATCTTGGACGGCATATATATTTCGGAGTCAATGAGGATGTCAAGGGCTCGGGCGCGTTGTGGCCGAGGCTGAGGAGGAAATTGCGCTACGCCGTGTATACAGCGGGTTTCTAGACGGTTGGGCTTGAAATGATTCAACACATGGGTAAAGTCTGAGGTGGTCCAGTCATTAAAGTGGGACGAGGTTTATCTGTACTTCACGGCAGTTAACCTGATCCGGCCCAACCCCACACGTGCTTAAGCTCCAATAGGAGTGCAACGGTAGCCATGTAACCTAGCACGTTAATGAACAAAACAAAACAAAAAAACATGATTACATAATAAGTCACCACTAATCTTCACAACGTAATATCCCGTGACCTGGACACATAGTGGGCCAAATCGCTTAGGCTTGGCTAGCGGCTTTCACCATCCCATTCCTACTCCCCTGCACATTGTCACGTGGTATACGATTACTGCTCAACACCAATTTCGAGGATGAAAATCGTTAAATTACAGCACTAGATAATATATAACTTAAATCCCCGAAAGGATACTCAAGCCAGTCAAAAGTATTCAAAGGAAATTCTTAAAGATCATCACGGGGGCATACCCATCAACCAGTAGTAGAATGCTAGAGCATGAAACGTCAACTCTCCCGATAGAGATCTACCTTGAACAAAGGCGGCTTCAATATACCGGGCTATCCAATAACCTACCTGTCCAATAGACAATTTCAACTGCACGCAGAAAAATCAATTTTTTTGATGAAGAAAAGTTAAATAAACGCGATCAGCATAGGAGAGATGATATAGCGGAAAGGATCTTAATCTGCAGCAACATCGAGTCTCAAACAGGACAGAAAGTAGCCGGTAAGAACACCGCGTTCAAGGAATGGTCAGAATCTTGGACGAGCCAGAAGAAGGAACGATACTTGGGTCCAACTTGCAAATGAAATCCGAGGCATGAGTGCTCCTCTTGTAAATTGAGTCATCTTTTCTGTACTTTTCTTTGATATTGTGTCATAGCTAGATAGCTGCATACGCAATTAAAATCTGATGCAAAGAAAAAAAAAAAAGATACTTGGGTCCCCGAGCGCAAGCTAATCCAGATGAGTGGAAATCTAAAAACTTATTTAACGACAAGAAAACAGGTAGACTTACCATGAACTATAGAGAGTCATCTATCCAAATCCACCAAAACCTTGGCCGGGCCCAGTGCAGCATTGCCATGTAAGTAAGAAGCGAGCACATTGGGCTCAATGCTTACTTGTACAGAAAGAACGTGCCGGGAGTAGGAAAACCATGCTGCCAATGTGGATATCCGTCCCTGTTGGTACATTACGGTATACGCGCCTAAATAAGAGGCAATAAATAGATTCAATAAAACGATACAATAACATTCACATATATTCATTATATCTATCTGTTCTAATCCTCTTGGTGTAATGTAAGAATGCAAAGAGAATATTACGTAAGTTTCACTACTGCTACAATAGGTTAATACATATTCCACCTATTACTAGAGTGCACATGACTACTGTTCCAACAGTCCCAAAATATAAAGCACATGGTGATGTCTTATCCAAGATGGGAAAAGGGAAGAGGTGAGTTGCTACGAAAATCGACTACCCGATTTTTCGAAGCTATGGTAAATAACGTCAAATATGTGACTACAATTGCACGGTGGATTCAAAAGGAAGGATGGCTAGAGCAGTTTCGGATGACCGGAGAAATCGAGGCGTTAATCAGGCGAAGAGAGGAAAATGTAAACACAGGACAAGGACGGAATCCACATTGGCAACAACAGTGTGAGTGCACTCCCTAGAGGTAAGACTATAAAGGCATAGAGTCCAATCAGACAGCTAAGGGGGTTTTTACTGTAAGGTTTCCTCCTATGTAAATATTAGAGTTCGTAGAAACCTGCATGGGACCATAGGGCGCCAAATCGGGCTAAATGAAATCAAAATCAAAATCAAAAATATATGACTCAAGTAGTACCATAAAAACATCACATCACCAGTGTGGTCTGATTACTAAGCGGTTCTCTTAAGATCTAACGTTGATGACTTTTTACTCACCAATTATCCTCTAAAGAACTTAATCAATCCCGAGTTCGGAATGAACACACCCGATAGGCTATCAATCTTTGTACTGCTCTGAAAGTTTTTTTTTTGTTCACTAAAGTGCTCGGTTAAGTGACTACCGTTGCACTCCTACTGGAGCTTAAGCACGTGTGGGGTCGGGCTGGATCAGGTTAACTACCGCGAAGTACAGATATAGCTCATCCCACTTAAATGACCGGACCATCTCAGACTTTACCCATGTGTTGAATCATTTCAAGCCCAACCGTTCAGAGAACCCCCTCTTGACGCGCCGAAGCGCAAATTCCTCCTCAGCCTCAGCTACCACGCGCCCGAGCCCTTGACATCCTCATTGACTCCGAAATATAAATGCCGTCAAAGATTTCATCGTTGCTCTGGCCTTGCACCTTCATATCTTACCATTGGATTGTTGTCGTCATTGGGGATCGGTGTAATCTCCTCGGTGTATCTTCCCTTTCCTTTCTCCTTTTCACACGTCCTATTTCCGTCATGACTTTCCTCATTAGGGCTTGAGTAGGTAGGTGGTGTGACGAGCATGAAGGTTGGTCTTTTTTTTTCTTTTTTTTTGCGTCAGATTTTGATTGCGTATGCAGCTATCTAGCTATGACACAATATTAGAGAAATGTATATTAGATGACTCAATTTACAAGAAGAGCACTCATGCCTCGGATTTCATTTGCAAGTACCACTGCGAAGTTATGGTGGCTTTTTCTTCACCCCAAGTCAACCCACATCAGTGAATACCCACCCAGGGGACATCTCAAAATGGAGGTTAGTCGCAGGTGTAGAATAAACTGAGAAATGCTTCGTCGCAAATACATGATGAGTTTGAGAGATGTCGGATGTTTGAATACGACCCCCAGATAGACCTAGGCCCTTTCGTGAATCGTATGTTAGTGGTGATGACTTTTTGTTCGACGTTGTTCCGGCTGTGAAATCTCTGCCGACTGATTTTTCGACCAAAATATCGAGTGCAACTCCTTCAAGTCGAAAATCCATCAATTAAAATTCATCCCACCCATTTTCGTGACTGAATCTCGGCTCTGGGAGAATATTTCACTCCCAGGTTCGTAGAAGGCACCATAGACAGGTGTTCGGCCTTTGTCCTCCTGCTCTGAAAGTATGTCGACATGTTTGTAATATCTTCCGAAATTGACCACCCGGGCTCGTCCTTATCCCTGCAATGCCGTGCATCGTTCCTCCGAAACTTGAGCTCAGCGGCTGTAGAAAAACCAGCGTCTTCAATACTTTCCATGTGGTTCAGATATTATTAACACCTGAGATAGTGCGGGACATGTCAGTAAAGACCATTTTTTTGCTTATTGTGGTGAGGATCTTTTCGTGGTTCTCGAAGCTTGTTTAGATCGACCCTTCATGCTGCAGGGTAAGGTTAATTTATTTTCCGGCCGTTGATCTTCACGAACAACTCTAAAATAAAAAATAATTATAAACTTGGATTGCATATAACAGTTTAATTCCCTGCATTTATTTGTTAAGTATATCATTTCTTCTTGTACCTTCAAAATCTGCTAGACTGAAACTAGACTTTGCTCACCTCAAGACAATGCATTCGTGATTGGGTTCACGTGATTATAAGCTACTTTAACAAACAGAAATCAATGTTAAATTGATAAATTTAGATCCTATAGAACTCTTCTTTCGTGTAAACATTGGAGTCGGAGATTTATCACATCTAGTTTGTGAGGCATTAGAAATATAACAAGAATTCTAAATTTAGCCGACGGTAAACCCTCCCAACGTCGCTGTCAAGTATTAACGAAGCACGCGGTCCTCGCTTATCAAATGCTTTATCAGTCCTGCAACTTTTCAACACCACCTTCACTTCATAATAACCTCTGTATTTCCTTCAGCAAGCCATGGAGTTCAAGAAGACCCTATCTTTTTTAGAATGGCTTCCAAAAGTTGGAATAAAAATGTGCCAAGGAATAAAGATAGACGAATTCCTCCCAGATAGAGGAAGAGGCATTGGTAGGTCTTCGACACGCATCAACACTCAAACTGAATTAACAGCACAGCCAACTCAGGCTCTAAGTTTTGGAAGTCTAGAACCTTTAACCTCACTGATGATATTTTAGTGGCAATTAGAGATTTCTCAGATGGTGAAATAATCCTCACCATACCGCGGTCCGCACTACTCAATTCTGAAACGGCTGGCAAACTTCTTGATCCCTCTACAATTGGATCTCTTAGTAATATGCCCGAATGGCTGGTACCTAAACACGTGAGGCTTCAGCAAACAACAATAAGCTGATGAAACTACCAGAATCTGACCGCTCTAATTCTCGCTGAGGCTCAAAATACTAACTCACGATGGGGGCCTTATTTATCTATATTACCCGAAAAACTTGACAGCCTCATATTTTGGTCACAGGATGAGCTTTCTGAATTACAAGCAAGCGCTGTTGTCCATAAAATCGAAAAAGAATCTAGCGAGAAGCTCTTTTCAGAACACATAATGCCTCTGGGGCTAAGTAATGTGAACTACTATTTATGTCATTTGATTGCATCTATCATCATGGCATATGCGTTTGATGTTCCAGCCATGCAATCAGAAGATGATGATGATGGGGAAAATGACACTGATATGCTTGTCTCTGATGATGAGAAAGAAGAAAGTACGTTAAGCATGGTGCCTTTAGCTGATTTATTCAACGCAGATGCAGACAAATGCAATGTGAGGCTATTCTGTGATAAAGAAGACTTAGAGATGAGGACTGTTAGGTAAGATAATCTATTCCCCGTTCTTCAAGCCGGAATTGCAATTAAATATTTTCTCTGTATTCAATCGTGGTAAACTGGCTAAGAACTTGAAGACCAATACTATCTGGTGAAGAACTATTTAATGATTACGGAGCCCTTCCGCAGACCGACCTACTTCGGCGATATGGATATATCACTGAGAATTATGCACGATACAATGTAGTTGAAATATTTTCAAGAACCTTGATCTCATTATTTACCAATCAAAGTGCCTCTGAACTTCCGGAGAGCTTATCTTTGAATCCAATGAATGAAAAATATTTGAATGAAAGAATAGCATTGGCAGTTCGAGAAAATATTTTCGAGGAATCTTACGACATTTATCATTCGTTTATAGATGAACCAAGCATTCCTGAGCAGCTAATAGCATTGGTATATATACTTCTTCTTCAAAAAAGGCATTTTATGGCAATCGAATCATCGTTAGAAACTCTTCCTGGTCGATCAAAGCTTTGCACTGGACTTGTCGGTCAGGTTCTTGTAGTTGCTTTCAAGAAAAGAGAAACTGAATATGCGACTTCACTAGCCATGGACGAAGAAATTATAAAATCATCTGGCCTTTCAAGGCGAATGCACATGGCGGTAACTGTGCGACTCGGTGAAAAGAGGATCCTCCAGGAAGCGATTCAAGAAGCCTCAACATTTTGTGCAAGCAATAAAAGAATGATCAACAATGACTAGAGCCTTAATAGTTGTACTATCCAAGAAACTTTAAGGAGAAATAGAATTTATAATGATTAATCTAAAGGCTAAAGCAAAACGTGCGAATCGTGGAAGCACCATCTAATCGATTCCACTGAAAGTTAAGACCGCTATATAAACTACATTCAAGATTTAAAAAATCCATTAATACTTTTGGCCTTCAAACCTCCAAAATCACGCCAAAAATGCAAGAGCCTCGCTAGCGCCTCCTACCTATTCTAGAGGGAGCTATCTAAGATGTCAAGACTCATTTAAACCTACCTCCATTTTCCTTTAACGCCGGAGACCAAATACCCACCCAAGCATAATCTTCTTACCGGCAATACATACATACTCATTGCAAAAATACAGAAAAAATCTACCGATTATTTAGCCTGTGGTTGAGTGATTTTAGGCAAACTTTCTGTGTTGGTGCGGTTTTGTGCCTGGTTGACACCTGCAGACTTTCCATGCGTCGATTTCCGGTCTTCAAGCCGAGCTCGCTGGGAAAAAAGATAAGTCGGAAAAGGAATAGTAGCCCGAAACTTCATTGAGGATGTTGAATACGGATCCATATCATAGATGAGTTGTTCGTCATCATCTTCACGGTCGTATTTCCAACGGTCCAGTATCACTGGATTAGTGGTTATAACAGGAGATGAGATACCTCTACGATCGATCCAAAGGCGGCCACCACGTCCAATCCTTCTGCGGTATGCGGGATGCCAATGTTCCTCATCAGCTCCAAGTGGTGAACTAACATTGAAGTTAAATGACTCATTCTTATCCTCGTCTTCTCTGGACGGAGATCCTCGGTCGAAGGGTTCAAGAATCACAGATGATGGGGGTGTCATCAGCTGATACTGGGCTGTCACAGTGCGGAACCCAGCCTCCGAACCCTGTCCAGGTAAAGGCGACAAAGGTTCTCTAGTTAGATCAACATGAGATTGATTCCAACTGCGGTGCAGTTTAGCCTTCTCTTCTATCTCTGCCCGAAGCCTGTTCACTTTTTTCTCTTGTTCGTCACTGAGTTGTATAAGATCGGCTTCAACAGGCCGACCTTCTGATCTACCTAAACGAAGTTGCGTCGGGCCGCTAGGATTGCGCAGGGCACTTTGATCCCTGCGTCGCATTGGCTTGTGTGCGTTAGCCATCGACTTGTTCAAAGGAAAATTAAAACAAACCCTCTCGTTAACCAAATCTTGGTCATCACCTTTAACGCCTAATTGAACTTTCGCTTCTTTAACCTTAAGACGCTTTTCAAAGACACCACTTTCGACATCAAGTAAGTCGCGCTTTAATAATTCTCGGCGATACGCCATCTCTATCAGATTCCGACCATCCTCTAACTCTTTCCTTAATTTTCTAAGCTTGTCTGTACTTTGCAAGTCTCGAGCTCGAGTTTTTCTTGTCTGCCTCGCGTCACGCCGGCGAAAACATACATAAGGATCACCATCGTCTTTTTCCTGATTCCTTTCAAACTTTAAAGTCGGTTGGAGAGGATAATTCCCATTTTCATGCTTACGAATCTTCCAATGCTCATAGACATCTTTGGCAAATATTGAAATCCTACCATCCACTTGTTGTTGGAGAGAGACATTCATGTTTTCGAATGATACCACAAATCCGTCTACAAACCCATGTGGAGCTTGGATTTCTGAAGATTCTTCAAATATTTCCATGATTTTCTCAAAATCATCTTCCGAGCACTTAACTGATTTATCTTGGTTATAAGCTGTGAGGAAGATATCGTCCTCGGTAGTCATGTTATATTGGGACCCTGTACAGTCTTCTACAGTTTGAGAGAAGCGAATATAGGTGGCGGGTTTCTCAAATGTCAGTGAGTATAAACCATCGTAGTCAATGTTGCTACTCTCTTGGGCTGGGGGCGCTGGGATTTCTTTCTCCGCATCCTTATCACTAGCGCCAGAGGTAGCTGCTAATGCTGCCTGTAAATGATACTCCTGTTGATGGTCAGCCATTCGCTCGTATGTGATCACGTTGTGTCACATGTCATAATTGTCACGTGCCTTTTCTTCACTTTTCTCTACACCAGTTTCGACAACATACTGGTTTTGTAGAGAGCAGTACTCAGTAGATTCGAATTGATCCTCTCGTAGAACTGGTTGTTGCGTGTGTTTCGCAAGCTTTCGTATCCTAATTTGTCTTGCCGGAGCTTGCGGGCGCATCGTGAATTGCGAAATGGTCCTCTAGCCTGCAATCGCGATTTTTTTGCGCTGAAAATTTGTGGGTGGAATCGGCCTTTCATATTTCGATGGACGATGGCATTTCATAATATTTTAGAGATATATTGATGGGATTCTTGATGGTTTGGTCTCGGAGAAGAATGGCTTGACGAAGACTTTAGCTCCCTACTGAAATTTGCACAGGATGGACCTGGGGTGCGGCCTAAGCGCGGTCGAGTGATTGGCGCGACAGTAAGTCAAGTCCTCAAACACAACTACTCCTGCGCCATGTGGATATCAAAAGACAGATGATACCTTTGAAATATGACCAGAGAAGCTAGTCGCATGTGCTCCAGATTGTAATTGAATAACTGCTAATCTAGATGACTGACGGGATACAATCTGTTGCGATTAATTCGTAATCCAGTGAAAAAGACCAGTTCATTTGAACTTGAGGTTTTCCTGATCAACTAAGTATGGCGAGAATAATTTGCCAGAACGAGATACAGTGCAATATTATCTGAACAGTAATGAAACAGCTTACTATTGGGAATTAACTCGGGTCTAGAGAAGCTCATCAGTAACGTGATGCCAAGTTCCAAGCTAGGTTCGATGTGACTAGTGCGAGCTCCTCGGCTCAATTTGAACATGTTATCCCTACAGTTAGGCCACGTTAATCTCTCCACCCCCGCGCCCCTCCACGTCAGCTCATATTACACTCAAAATGGGCAACGCAAGTAGTGCGATGCTGGAGAACATCGTACAAGGCTCAAATTGCACGTCTTATATCTCTCATTCTTTTTAAATCTCTGAATCTATCTGCAGCTTATGGGGGCTAACTGTGACTTGAAGTTGATCGCGATGAAGTAGACAGGATACGGAAGAGATTCGTCAAGTTGGACAAGGTATGTTCCCTACTGCCATAAAAGTTATATTGCAATGCAACTAATCCTATACTCAGGATAATTCCGGTACTATAGAGCGCGATGAATTTCTTAGTCTTCCTCAGATTTCCTCGAACCCACTTGCGACCAGGTTTGCACCCTTACACAAATTACTACTAGGAGCTCTAGATACGCTGACACTATTAGGTTGATCGCCATTTTCGACGAGGACGGAGGTGGCGACGTTGACTTTAAGGAGTTTGTATCGGGCTTGAGTGCCTTTTCCAGTAAGGGGAATAAAGAACAAAAGCTTCGATTCGCATTTAAAGTATATGATATGGATCGTGATGGCTATATTGGAAACGGCGAACTCTTTATTGTGCTTAAAATGATGGTGGGAAGTAATCTCAAAGATCAACAGCTACAGCAAATTGTGGACAAAACAATGATGGAAGCAGACTTGGATCGCGACGGAAAGATAAGCTTCGAAGAGTTCACAAAGATGGTGGAGAACACTGACGTCAGTATGAGCATGACCTTAGGTATGTGCGCTGTGACACACCCAGCGAAGCACCTTCCTATAGGTCCACAGCTAAAATTTACAGATCAATTCTAGAGTCAAGATAATACATTGTGATATTACAAAAAATCTAAAGAAAGCCACGTACCGATTTGATACACCCCTGTAGTGGTATAGAATAAAGATCTTGAACTCGGCAAAACTTCACTAGGATTATATATAGAGTGATTAATGAAGCTTATCACAAATTGAATTATTTCATCTTTAGGAGGTGCTAGCAATAATAAGCAACTAATAGAACAATTTTATCATATGATGAACTTCGCAGGAACAATTAAGTTGAATTGAAAGAAACGGTCGTTATCCTGACGACGATATCTGATGAGTTCTTAATCTTCCAGATCCGAAGTCTATCATGTACCTGAGTAAGTCTTTCGTTGCATAGAAAATTAATACATCGTTATTCTAGGTCAGGTGGATTCTTGGCGCTTCAGAAAGGCTGGAAATGGGCCAGGCACGATAAGTCGAGTGAGGTATTTGGGCTAGTAGGCTTCTGGAAGGATGCGGGGTAGGGCATTCGGCAGACAATAACTTACCAGTCGGAAGTGGCAACTTAGCAGAGTGAAGGCTGGTACTATTAGCGCATGCCAGGATAGACATGGGAGGGGAGTAGGTCAGGACAGATCAACTGGGGTGATAAGATCTCTGCCATTTCCACCTTCTCGGCATGTACGTCGGGGAGGCTGATTATTGCCTAGCGACCTTTGAGGTAGGACTAAAACAGTACTTATCCAGGTACGAGGAAAATTAATCAGCAATTCTCCGAGATGAGCCAAGCTCAAGTAGGCAACGTTTATGTGGACTGGATTGGGGATCTGGGAAGCTCCGCCGTCGCGGGCCTTTTGTCAAGTGCTACTAGGGCTTGCACAAGCCAGCTGATGGAGCAACGGACGGGGTTAGTGGGTAGCATCATGTGCCGGAACCGAAGTTGTTGGAGAATCTTCAGGATTAAGCGTGTCATAAGTTTGTGGGGGAGCTACCGCGACGTGGTTGGTCAGTGTCGTTGGAAGACGCGATGGGGTGAGTAAGGGCATAGGCCCTGCATCAACAGAGGTTTGACAAACATAGAAGATCGTCGAGAAGGGTTATTCCTGCTTGCATGATCGGGACGACCAAAGTAGGAGACGGGTGACCCGGCGCCCTTCCCTGGTAACACTGACAGGCACGTATCAAGGCAAACTGCGACAGAAACTCCTTACAGCAGAGATCTTTCACGATTTTGACTATCGACAATCACGACATAGCTTGGCCTGCCACGATGGAAGCAAGAAATGACATAGGGGAGGCACAGAAGATATTGGAACTCTGCGCATTAGGGTCGGCCGAGAAGGAGGAAGTCTTGTGCCATGCCGTTTCAGCGCAAGCGTAATTCATCGGCTCGCGTGACGAAGGGTTTCAGGACGAAGGCGTTTCTACCTGTTACATGCGCGACAGATTCTCTGGTGCTCTAGGAGCTGGGATGTAGGTCAATCAACCCGACAGCTTCCGCGTTGTTATTCCGACCGGGTTAACCCACACTAGTCAGCGAGGAAGTGTACGGCGTGAGCGAACCAGAACAACAGTATTGATCAAAAAAGGACGAAAGGGGGCTGGTTATATCAGGTTGCCCTATTCGTTTCTTTGCAGCATGAGGCCAGATGATCTAAGCCAGAAGCCTCCCTGTTATTCCTTAGCCCACGAGCGCCGTGTCGATCATCTCAATCAAGGTAAGGATGATTTAAACGCTGCCAGCTGTAAGCAACCACGAGCTTAGGGATAGGCCATGCGAATCGCGCAAGTTCGTGAACTCACAGCTGGCGCGATCGATCTCTAACGCCACCTTGATTGTCTCTTTTCCGGTCTGTCTCCTCCCTTCCCTCCCGAATAACTTGGGATGAGCAGGGGCATGGAGGGATCGCACATGCAGTACTCTCGCCCCAACCATGTCAAGCCAGTGCAGATGGGGAACCACGATGTCTAAGAGGCAAGAACTCACAACTGTTTCCATCGCCACGATGCTAACACGCACGACTATGAAGCTGTGGGCCAAGGCAGCTGCTTTCTCGGATCCTCCGCCTCGTTAGGTCTTTTCGCCATTCCCCCAACCAGTTTTTCTCAAATTTTTCTTCCTCGCCCTTCCCCCCTTTACTGTAGCCTCCCCGGCCAAACCTTAAGCCGTTCGCCGGATGTTATGGTTGTGCTCGGACATCCCCACCCATCTATCCATCATTATTGCAGTGAGTGTCTGTGCCGTCAATCCAGCAGATCCAATTTCCACGACCCTCGAAACACCCCATTTGCCTCGTCCATAACCAGCCGTCCGTGTCCGGGCCGAGGTCGATGCCCCTCGTCCTGTTTCCTGCTCGACCAACAGTGGTCGGAGCGGCTACGGCGCTTTGCGCAGGGCAGAGAAGTTTTTGGCATCATGCTCGCCATCACCCCCTCCTGGTAAGCCGCTTCGCATTCACATCAACATCCGTATCAGCATCAGCCTCAGCTATTTCCCCCTCCCTACACTAGGCACGTGAAATATGGCCAAATAATCTCCCGCCCACTTTGACAGTGGAAGGTCAAGGATTTCCCTGGAACCCGTTGACAACTTAATGCGTCTACGCCATCAAATCCGTCTGAACTATTGCAGCTCATGTGCATCATCTCAAGCGTCTCCAGTGCCCCCTCCCGCTCCTCTCCACTCAAGGGCGAGGTCGAGCCAATATTACTCTCGCCACCGAACCATGCTGAGAACCTGACCTCGAGATCCCCTCGTGCTCCATCACGACACCATCCATCTGCCCTACAAATTCGTCCCACTAATATCCCTCCCACAACCATTACATCCCGCATCTGCTTGCTCAACTCGCTACTTCCTCGTCCTGGCATACCTACACTCCAGATTCGAGGTCATCAGATTATTTTGAGTAAAGGCTACAAAGGATGCTCACATTCCCCCGAACTCTGCGCTCAAACATCTCTAGTCTTTCCTTCGTTCGGTACGTCTCAAGGCGCTTCAAATATGTTAATATATTTCTTCCAACTGACTGAAAGACAGGAGCTAACGCCTCTTTAGCCGTAGACCATCCTATATTCTTCCACTGGCTCGCTCGACGAGATCTCTATTGTTTATGTGAAGCAAGTAAATTGGCACTAATTCATACCTTGGCCGCCTGCGGCGCATCGACTGATTTCTGTGCCTCCTGTCCCTACCTTTCCTCGGAATGGACGAAAACTCGCGCCGAAGGCGGCTGAATGATCTGTCTTATTCTGGACCTGATGCCCGCTTCAACCCGGATAGTGAAGCACGTGGTTTTGCTGGAACATCAGCTGGACGACATCGTCCTGCCTCTCTAAACACTTCCCCACCAGCAGCTAGGGGAGGGGCCACCGGAGTTACAAATTTCTCTGGATACTATCAGGTTGCATCTCCAAGCTTTCCAAACACTATTCAATCTACCAATCTTCAGTATCCAGCTACTTCCGGGTACGCTACGGATCAGAGACAGCAGCCACAGTCAGGCTTTGCAGCTTACAATCCAGATGTAATGTACAATGTATCACAACAGACGACTCCATCTAGCTCCGTCTATAACCCGTCCTCACAATTCCAGACGCGACAACCCACCGGCATGCAGCTACTTTCTGATGTAGCAGCGCCCTACTTTCCAAACGGGACTACCTCCGGTTCTGAAGCATCGAATCTGCAGCATCATCCATCATCAACTGCTGCCCCAACCGTATTTTCTCAAAATTCGCAACAGCAACAGCAACAACAGCCGCCGCCGCCACCACCACCACCGCCAACACAAAGTTCCAGTGATCGGAATTCAATCCTGCAGCCAACCCCCGAAGACCGAGTCTCAATCATCTCTCAAAATTACACCTCCATTCCAATGGGAAACATGGCCCAGGCGTCTGAAGTGATGGAAGAAGAGTTTACATCCCAAGGTCCTGGAATGGAGGCAGCTTATACAACATATCAAAATGCACTAAAAGAAATATTCCAGAATATCATCCACGGTCGGCTAAGGGAAGCTAGTCAATCGCTCGTGGAGACATCTGAGTGGCTTCTGAGTCACGTGGGAGAGCTTGGTAGGTGTTCTCAATTCCGGGCCATTTACCTCACTAATATACTAAGGTCTGACCGTCGATGAAGTCTCTCTCCACGAAGACCGCATACGGCTGTGGGGGGAGTTTAACACGGCATGGTTAGGAATCTTTCAGAAGCAAAAAGATATGCTAGAGTCTGGAATGCGCCTCCCACCAAATCAAAGTCTGATGTCTCAAGAGACCATAAATAAAATGGCGAGGCATCTTATTAAGATGTGTGATTTAGTGGAGAAGCATGGTCTTGTCGATTACCAGTATGGTGTGGCTGAGGAGCAAATTATGGCCAGTCAGTAATTCTGAATCCTTGCACGAAAGCCACAACTAATTTGATTTAATACAGTTTTGATGGAGTGTCTAGATTTGCAAGAAACGCTCGAGAAAATGGAGGGCGACGATGCTGGTCCATCAGTGGGTATTGGTCGCGCGCCTTCCTGAAGCCTGATCGCTAGGACCGTAACCATACCATTTGTATGACCAAAAGAGTTCTGAATCAATCATCATTTTCGCAACAGCCCGTGAGCAAAACCAACCTTTGAACTTGGTACGATGGGAGAGAGATCTTCAGTGGCCAGTGCTATGATCCGATACGATGCACACACATTACATATATAGGAACTCACCACACAATCAACCATACCTATCTACATACGCACGTAGATCCTCAGCTCACAGGTCCCGTCCCGATACTCCTGGGTGCGCCAGGCATTATTTTATGGGATGAGGTAGGGGGGCAAGCCACGAACCAATTCCCTGTTGCCCAGATTCGAGTCCGGCCGGAGCTCTGTGCTAAAAGTTACGACTCAATATGGCATGTGCGCTTGAGGGTATTTTCATAAACGGTCTGACGAGACTGAGACAGAATAATGCCCAATGATGGGCTCTGTATGTTTCTAGAGAATTTTAATGCAGTGCCCATGGAGCCTAATGGGGTATGCTGCAGTCCATGCAACGTCCATACTTTTTCCGGGGAGGGAGCCGGTGTTCGAGTCAAGTTGCGTCAGGACAAGGATGGTTGAACTTTTCCTAGAAATGGCATTTCTTCTGATCTGCCAGTACCCATGTAATCCATTCCCAAATGAAGCAACAGGCAGGTAGGCGAAATGCTAGATTTGTAAAATAGCCAGTAGTGCCTGGTTTGATTAAGCTACAGAAACAATGTGCTACTGTATCATTGTTGGAATTGGCTCGAAATCGTCGTTTCACACCTCGCTAATCATGTGCGATGATTATTTTCGCTAGCCAAATTATGTGGAAGTTAACTACTCTTGTCTCGTAGCTCACAAAATCAACACACTCCAAACATCAAACTTACCGCACTGTGCGTGATTGGGAAGTTTGAAGATAATCGACGATCTGAAAGTGTGCTTGCGCTTTAAAACGTATTGATTGCTATTACTCTTCGTGCGGCCCTAGTCACAAGAGTCGGGGGCGGGAATGGACGTTGTCGCGCTGCCTTTGCTGATACTGAACGCTAATTCCGGCAACTCGGACCAAGGCCGTCACTGATGCAGGTGGGGCGAAGGGGAAGCGCTAAGGTCTAGGTTCTCTTCCCATGGCACTGGGTCACTAGTTCATCAACCACCAATATAGGCTGTATTAATCTAGCACGACCTCGTTGTAACGGGGATATGGGGGCAGCAAGGACAGGGGATCCCAGTCATCTTATCGAAATAGCTACGATTCTACAGCATGGAATCATAGTCACGTGTAACACTCCAACGACCCGGTCTAGTGGCACAGATTTGTACATCGGGGTCCGTGCCAGTTGCATAGAACAGCAAAATTCCTGTTAACATAAGTTTCGTGGACTTGTACAATATGTTAGGATTGAGATTTATTCCGGTAACGCCAGGATTTATTTGATGACGGTTGCGTGGTGGGTAATGGTACGATATAAACAAATCCGTAGGAATCGATGTTAGTATTCTTTCTTCACTGGATTGCCATTTAGAGCAAGACCCTTTGCGTCGATTAGAAATTGTTGGCATTAAAGAAGATACAAAAGCGCGTTATTAATTATTATCTTTTAGCTGATAGCAGTCCATCGCGGTCAAAGACTGAGTAGGGACTTTTACTCGTATTCACTGAGTACAATTATCCGGCTCGTAGGGGGAGCCTTAAAATCCGAGCCCCGACAAATTACAGAGGGGCACAAGGCGTGCCAACGGCAACCGTTAATACGCAGTCTCATTCCCAAGCGCATCGAGACCCTTGCGTTCACGTGGTTCCTCCGACAGCAGCTTTTAGCGACAAATAGTGAGTCAATATTGCGCACACTGTAGACACTGATCTACAGGGGGCAAAGACAAACACTTGTACGCAATCATCTTAACGGGAGGACAAGACTGAACACCTGTACGCGGTGTCCTCTACGAACCTGGGAGTGAAATATTCTCCCAGAGCCAAGTTCAGTCAAACTTCGCAATACCGAACAAGTTGGCCCACGAGGCAATGATTAAAATTGCTCCACCACGTCAAATTTTCACACCCAACGAGATCGATTCCTACCTAAGCTTCATCAAGTCTACAAGTACGACCTAGTACATCCTTATTCCAATGATCACACTTCTCGTCGACTTTTTCTGGCCTCAGCAGGTCACCAAATACACGCCCACGCCGATACTTATACCCGATGGAGGAAGCAAAGCGTGGCGCACAAATCTGAGAGATAGCTCTTTGGGATTGGCGTGAGAGGATTAGGGATAAGTTAACAAGATGATGCAACGAATGGATACAGTCTCGACGGGCGTGGAATTTTGAATTTTGGAAAGGAGTTTTTACAAATTGAGCTTTGTGCGTGCTAAGTCTTTGGTTGCGAGAGTGCAGGCGACACAATAAACACTGCCATGGTTGGATGGTGCGGTGGTACATCGTCTTGGCCGGTCTGCCAAGTAGAGTCTGGATAGCTTGGACACATATCCCACTCGAGACAGTAGATCGCTGGTTCAAATCCAGCAAAACACAACCACATTTCTCGCGGCGCTGGTATGCATGGATGACGAAGGCATGCTTGGATAACCAAAGGTTTCGAAATTCCCTTTGGTGGGTACTAACGGAGGAGGATCGACTGTTTGTGTAAGCGAACATACCTCACAGTGGTATTTGCAAATGAAATACAGAGTATGAGTGTCTCTAACGTCAAAAGAGTCATCCAACATGTATACATAGCACCGGTCATGTGTCATAGCTAGATAGCTGAATACACATTAAATGATAAAAAAAAAAAAAAAGACTGAACACCTGTACGCGTTGTCCTCTACGAACCTGGGAGTGAAATATTATCCCCGAGTCAAGTTCAGTCAAACTTCGCAATATCAAATAAGTTGGCCCACGAGGCAATGATTCAAATTACTCCTCCACGTCAATTTTTCGCTCCCAACGAGTTTGACTCCTACCTAAGTCTCGTCAAGCCTACAAGTACGACCAAGTACATCCTCATTTCAATGACCACACCTCTCTTCGATCTTCTCTGGCCTCAGTTGAACACCAAATACACGCCCACGCCGATATTTATACCCGACGGAGGAAGCAAAGCGTGGCGCACAAATCTGGGAGACAGTTCTTTGGGATGGACGTGAGAGGGATCAGGACAAGTTGACCAGACGATGCAAAGGAAGGATACAATACGAAGGGCATGAAATTCCGAATTTTGGCAGGGAATTTTATGAATTGGGCTTTGTGCGCGCCAAGAATTCGCTTGCGAGAGTGTAGCTGACACTATAAAAACAAGCAAACGATGGAAGGTGTTGTGGTCCGCCTCCTGGTGATGTTCTCTGGTATGGTTTGAGTAGCCTGGGCACCTACTCCACTTGGGAAGGAGACATCTCAGATTACATTTCGCGCGGAGAAAAGTTGATGGATGACGGAGGCATGTCTGGATAACTCAGGGTTTTTGAGACGTTTTTAAATAGGGCATGACCCTCATCATCTATTGGCAAAAATTAAACACAGCAATATACAACATTCCTATTAATTTTAAAGCTATTTAGATAGTTTTAGCTGTCCTTCATAGTCATAGACTCAGTAAGGACATAAGTAAAATTCTATTCTATTCTATTTTGAGACGTTCCCCTGTGTGGGTATTCACGGATGAGGGTTGACTTGGGGTGAAGAAAAAGCCGCGATAACTTCGCAGTGGTACTTGCAAATGAAATCCGAGGCATGAGTGCTCTTCCTTTACGTTGAATCATCTATTCTGTACTTTTCTTTGATATTGTGTCATAGCTAGATAGCTGCATACTTAATTAAAATCGGATGCAAAAAAAAAGGTATTCATCATTAGCAAAGCGCTCGGACCCATGTTTCTCCCGTAAAGCAAGTTGTATATGGGTCCTCACCTTGAACCTCATATTAGATCTGTAGTAAATCTTTTCATCATACAGATTGTGATCATGATCATTCATCCCCTGACACATGCCGGCTAATTATGAGACACACTCAGGTATCAATCCAATAACCCACACCCGAGAACGCACATTGAAGTGGACCGGAAGAGACTTAGCCATTTCGCTTGACAAGGCAATGTCAGGCTACGATAGTGTTCAGTACATATAGGTATACCTGGCAATGATAGAACGGACGCGCTGGCTAAACAGGCATGCAAAGCTTTTGCGCCCCCCCTATCTCAATCGATCTCCCGCGCGAAGAGAGATATTATATCACGATACAAAGCCTTTACGGATAGATACTGGGCCCAAAACACTCTCAAAAGGTGCCACTAGCCGAGAATCAGTGCCAATATTAGCAGTTCCCCCGAACAAAAGAGCCTTAGTTGCTAAGCTCTTGGTTTTCTGGGCTGACCTGCGTGCCCAGCCTTTCGCACACAACAAGTTCTCTCAATAGTGCTTATGTAAGATAATCATCAGGCCGCACTTTGTGCCCGCACGATCCAGATGTAGTTATCTCTCCCATAGAAGAATATTAATTATTTATAGTATTGCTTGCGTGCGCTGACCGTCTGGTTTAACCGATCACACCCACTGTAACGGCACAGCATTCTGCCATGTCATTACATAAATCGGGTGACCTAGAAGGTTTGATTTGATTCAAAATATTTAACGTGACAGGACGGACCCTACATCTATTTAGACGTGAGACGAGTAACAATGAGCTCTCAGAGCTCATTGCTTCCTCCGTGACCGGCATTAAAGCCAGAAGCGACAAAGGAAATTAAAAAGAAAGGAACAATAAATGTCTGAAATACAGTGCCCTGCGTCGCATCCCTATCCTCCAAGCACATCTCCTCTCGAGTTAGAATCTGTCTCAGCGTAGGCATCTCCCACCCTGTTCATTCTTCGGCAGACTGTAACATCTGCTTGTAGTTAAGAATTGAATGAACTTCTGCCATCTCTTCTCCCCTAACATTTCCCTGGCTCCAGGCAAGGCCTTTTTCTCACAGCTTCTCCAACGTTGCAAAGCAAGTCGGCACTCTGAAT